TAAAATGGGACATTTTAAATCTAAACCTGCTGGACTTCCGTCGCAAAACCAACTTTTATTGGTTTTTCTCACTTTTAAGGCTCGACATTCACATCAGTCAGAGAACACCAGCGTTCCAGAATCCCAGGACATTCCCAAAGAGCACCAGTGGTTAGTTTATGTTGCTGGTTCTGATGGTGACAGTCAGTGAGTGGCCAATGTGGCCCATAGTGATGCTGATGAGGAGGCGCTGCATGCTTGCTGTGATGAGTCTAGCAGTGGGTGAATGAGGCAACGAGCACAGTGAACAGGATGGAGTTACTCCCGTATGGAAGCAGGCCTGACGAGCTACTGTTAGCATTGAGCAGGGAGAAGGGGCTGCTGGAGCTGGAGTTGGACTTTGTGTTGAAGAAGTCTAAGTCGGCCTGAGATCTGAGGGACGGAGTACCTTCACATCCACGTTCGATCTGTCCGCTGCGAAACAAGGCATCGTTCAGCAGGTCTGGCAGGCGGCCATTCAGGTCCACCGAGGCCAGACAGCCCTGGAAGCCCTCTCTGGACGCCACGAGCTTGGGAAGGTTTCCATACATGCCCGGACCCAGTCCTGCGATGAAGAGGTCCCCTGAAGACCGGCAGAAGTAAACACACACGTTCAGAGACAGCTGCTCTCTCCAGAGTCTAGCTCCAACACGTTGAAGCGTAAACCTTTGATTTTACATCAGTTTAATTTATCTGTTTCGTCTCAAATCTGCAAACGTCCTAAATGTTTTCGAGCACTGACACCCTGCTCCAGGTCAGAAGGACCTGAACCTACCTTTCAGGTCCAGGTTCTTGGCCCCATTGATGGTCTGACTCGTTGCCGTGGCATCCACCTTCAGCGAGTGTGTGTTGCTGTTGTCTCGGGTTATCGCCACGTTGTGCCACTGGTTGTCGTTCAGCGCCCGCTCACTTTTTCCCTTGATGAGGTTTGGTCCGTTTCCAAGATCAAAAACGTAGTGGATGTACCTGGGGCGGTGAGAGTTTTCATTTCTACATCAGTAAACAGACGTCTTCCCACCAAAGCAGGAAGCACGGTTTTTATTCTGCAGCTAGAACGCTCCTTCAGAAACCATCTCAATCTGAAACTGTACTGGTGATCAAAGCTGACCCTTTAACCAGCTCCACAGCGATGAAGTCGTTGCCATCTCCGGAGTTGAAGAGGATGAATCCATCCGGAGACGTGGTTTTGAACTGGAAGAACAGGTGCATGGAGGTGTAGGCCTGCAGGGTGGCCAGACTCAGGTAGCTGCTCTTAGACTTGAAGGTGACGGGGTCGGCGATGATGGAGCGAACCCCAAAACGGGCGTTGAGCTCGCAGTAATCGATGTCGCCGTTCTTGCACAAGTCGATGTAGAGCATCCCATTGAATCTGGAGGGGGGGGGGTCATAATTAAAACAGTGGGAAAAATAAATCTTCAACTTCAGCGTTTTTATGGGGGTCTGATTCCATCAGTGAAGGACTAAACACAAACCAGGTGTGAATCTGCTGACTGGACTGATGATCTGGGGTGGGGCCTGACCTCATTAGCCATTCTATGTAAATTTTCCCAATTGTGATGTCACAAACAGGGACTTTTGGGAACAGCTGATGCTAGGCACACTAGGTGGAAGAAGTTACCAAATACTCTAAAGTAAAATAGTAAAAGTGCATGAGCAAGTCTGCTCAGCGTTGATTTAAAATAACAGCTTCAAGAACAGGAGCACAAACACTCTGAGAGGTGGCACACTGCGGCCCAAGACTTCAGCCCGTAACCTGCATGGCGCTTCGCTCCAGAAGAGATCGCCAGGCGGTGTGGTCGGTTGCAGACTGGGGTTGTAGATTATCTGAAGCCCGGTTCACACTTTCTGTTTTACAGCCGTCAACGACAAACGTGCCGTTGTCAGCAGAGACAAAAACTGCTGAGCATGACTTGCAGGTCTGTGCTCGTCCAAAGCGACGGGTCCTGTGACAGCACTCCCGTGACCAAACCCAGCCTAACTGTCAGAGCGTCAGTGAGTCCACGACCCCGGTCGACCCCCCCCCCCCCCCCATGTCCTTCTAGAGTGAGACGTCGTGCAGTTTGACTCACTGCAGTCTCGAGTCGTACAGAGAGCTCCTCCTCCAGAGCTCACGGAGCGTGGCGTGAAAACCTCACAGTTTAAGGCGAGCTTTAACCAAGGACCCACAAAAGAATGGAAAGCCAAAGCCGCCAAAATACTCCACTTTCCCAACCCGTCTAGTTAAGAAATGGCGAAAAAAACGCTGTTTGGTGTGTCAAGACGTCGTAAAATACGACGAAAACTCTGCCAGAACGCCGTATTTGACGCCGTTCTTAACGGTCCCGTAGAACACCCGTAAAAAACGACGTTTTTAACGGACATTGAACTCCGTTTTTTACGTCACCCTAATCCCAGACGCGTTCCCTGTGTGGGTGGCGTAAAAAACGGCGTTTGGTACGGACATTGAACGCCGCTTATGTCACCGCTCTGTGACATAAAACGTCGCTTTTAACGCCACTTTGTGACAGTTTTCACGCGTTTAAAACTCAACGTTACTCTCATTTATGCAGAGCCCTCCCCCTGGGTTTCTCATCCACTTAATTTAAACTCCAGTGACCCAATGAAAGACGAGGAGGTTGAGGCAGCACTAATTCATCCCAGATTCGCCGGGCTGAGTCCAGCTGGAACATCGGTGCTCTTTCTGTCCAAAACTCCCTTCTTCTTAAGCTCATCCATTTCAGTATTTACTATTGTGTTTTTTTGTTGTTGTTGTTGTTTTTTACTACTGTTATACTTGTCTTACAGGAGCTTCTGAAGATGTTCTGTCTTGCTTCTCCATCATCACTCTCCAGATCCTCAGACCAGCCTCTCCAGAACCTTCCCAGATCCAGGATCAGAGCACTTTAGTGCTTGTTGTTCTCCTATAGAAGCCTTAAACTAGAATTTGCTAATGAGCTTTCTTGGCTAAAATATGCTCTTGAATGTTTTTATTTACATAAATATTTCAAGAAAAACGTTTTTCATTGCTGCTTCACCGACATGACTCTGAAAATGTCCTCATGATCCTGAAACGCTGGTTAAAACTAATTACTTTCAACCTCTTATAAAACAAACGTGTCTGTTGAGGATTATGCCACTATACTGAAGCACCTGCATACTTGCTACCGATTTGCTAACTTTCTGTAATATTTGATATTTAAGTTGAAAACATGAAATGCTGTAACACAAATTCCAAACGTTCTAGTTGAGCACTTGTTTCTAAACAACTAATCATTATTTCTGTGATTAGTCAGCTTTTTCCTTTTCAATAAACACATGGAAAAATTACAATTATCTCACTGAAAAATGGTTTAACAGTGTTGCACATGTATAATAACCTGCACTGGTTTTGACAGTTACGGCATTCTTCAAACTATAATAATAAAATAAAGTGAAAAGATATTTACAATTGATTACTTCAAGTTCCTACTATTTACATTTTATGCATCGATACTGTAAATGGCTGTTTACTAAGGCATACAGAGTCAGTGCCTGTACTTTTATTGGATTGGCTTAGTGTCTGGCTGCAGAAGCAGAACAGATCGACTGAAGCAACTGTCTCTTTAGGTTTTGAGCACTACAATTTATGAAAAATATTTACAAATTTATAATTAGATATAGATTTAGGAAGACATCGAATGAATGCAACATATCAGCTGGAGTTGTTCCTTCTGTAAGAATCTCTGGATGTTAATCAGGTTTCTCGTGTTTGCACCTTATGACACAAAGCAGCTCAGCATGCTTTTGGGCCTGGTCCCTGGTGGTTTCCAGACATGATTTAGTTTACAGATCTTTAGCTGCACATGAAATGTTCTCACACGGGTTCTTGCCTAGTAAGCAGGGGGTTGCCTCCTGTAAAAATGGAGATGATCAGCTTCATCGTTGTCTTTCAGCACACTCCGTAAAGTCCTACATTTAAAAAATGTGGTTTGTGGGAGAGGCTCATCTACTTTCTAAGGCTAACACTTTTAAACTCCTCTTAAGCACACACTCAACTTGTTAATAACTAAAAGGATTGTTCAATACCTGCTCAAATAAACAAGGCAACTCTACAGACTCGTGGATTTGTAAGTAGCATTAATGAAGAATACAGGATCATATAGAACAGAAATATGTAGATTTACAAGCAAACTACCTGTGTACAGGCACTGACTCTGTATGCCTTAGTAAACAGCCATTTACAGTATCGATGCATAAAATGTAAATAGTAGGAACTTGAAGTAATCAATTGTAAATATCTTTTCACTTTATTTTATTATTATAGTTTGAAGAATGCCATAACTGTGAAAACCAGTGCAGGTTATTATACATGTGCAACACTGTTAAACCATTTTTCAGTGAGATAATTGTAATTTTTCCATGTGTTTATTGAAAAGGAAAAAGCTGACTAATCACAGAAATAATGATTAGTTGATTAGAAACAAGTGCTCAACTAGAACGTTTGGAATTTGTGTTACAGCATTTCATGTTTTCAACTTAAATATCAAATATTACAGAAAGTTAGCAAATCGGTAGCAAGTGCAGGTGCTTCAGTATAGTGGCATAATCATCAACAGACACGTTTGTTTTATAAGAGGTTGAAAGTAATTAGTTTTAACCAGCGTTTCAGGATCATGAGGACATTTTCAGAGTCATGTCGGTGAAGCAGCAATGAAAAACGTTTTTCTTGAAATATTTATGTAAATAAAAACATTCAAGAGCATATTTTAGCCAAGAAAGCTCATTAGCAAATTCTAGTTTAAGGCTTCTATAGGAGAACAACAAGCACTAAAGTGCTCTGATCCTGGATCTGGGAAGGTTCTGGAGAGGCTGGTCTGAGGATCTGGAGAGTGATGATGGAGAAGCAAGACAGAACATCTTCAGAAGCTCCTGTAAGACAAGTATAACAGTAGTAAAAAACAACAACAACAACAAAAAACAAAAAAAACCACAATAGTAAATACTGAAAGTGGATGAACTTAAGAAGAATGGAGTTTTGGACAGAAAGAGCACCGATGTTTCAGCTGGACTCACGAGCCACGAGGACAGACTGGTACGGCAGCCACACTTTTAAGTAATCATCAGGTCTGACTGAAACAGCGTTTCTGCCTTTTACAGGTAGACAGAAAAAATAATAATGTTGACACATTGTTGATAATATTACTACGTTTCAAGGCTTTTTCAATACAGTGAAATTAGTTGAAACAGAGCCGAGTTGTATTAGAAAACAGCAATCCGCACAGCCCGACAGCCCGGCGAATCTGGGATGAATTAGTGCTGCCTCAACCTCCTCGTCTTTCATTGGGTCACTGGAGTTTAAATTAAGTGGATGAGAAACCCAGGGGGAGGGCTCTGCATAAATGAGAGTAACGTTGAGTTTTAAACGCGTGAAAACTGTCACAAAGTGGCGTTAAAAGCGGCGTTTTATGTCACAGAGCGGCGAAATAAGAGGCGTTCAATGTCCGTACCAAACGCCGTTTTTTACGCCACCCACACAGGGAACGCGTCTGGGATTAGGGTGACGTAAAAAACGGCGTTTAATGTCCGGAAAAAACGTCGTTTTTTTACAGGTGTTCTACGGGACCGTTAAGAACGGCGTCAAATACGGCGTTCTGGCAGAGTTTTCGTCGTATTTTACGACGTCTTGACACATCAAACGGCGTTTTTTTTCGCCATTTCTTAACTAGACGGGTTGGGAAAGTGGCGTATTTTGGCGGTTTTGGCTTTCCATACAAAGGTAAAAAACAGGCGCGTTACAACAGAGCATTAATGGGCGTGAGCAGCGGTGTCACCACTGTGTGTGATTGGAATCGAGAGGAAGCCGTTTACTCCACCGTGGCAGACGTAGAAACAGCTGATAGTGAGATGGTGACTTCTCCAGCTCCAGAAGCCTGCACTGAAGTTTCACTTGGGTTCGGTCTTTGGTTAAATTTTATTGACAACCCCGTCCATGTGTGCACCCCAGCAGATCACCCAGGAAAACATGGAATGGATTTCTGCAGACTGAATCATTTCTAATGGATCAAGTGGACTGGATTTCTTTGGGAATGCTCAAAAGAGCGCAAGGCTTGCTAAATGAGGGGGCGGGACCAAATGCGTCATTTTGGAAAGTGGAGGGGACGCTCCTTCTTATGTAATGGTTCAGACGCCCATGCGCGCTACCACTAGAGCGAAAGCACCGGCAGCATTCAGCGGTGACAAAAACATCAGCCAGAGAGCTGAGGCGTGGTCTGTGGTCACCACCTGCAGAGGCGGCGTCTAGTTTATTATCTATAATCTCACCTGTTGCCTGTTCCTTCTGAACAACAGCATCAGGGCTTCCTAAGCTGGATTCCATGGAAGTGTGACCAACTTGGAGTTTCCTTGTGTTGTTTAAGTGTTCCCTTTGTCATCGTCAGCAGTGTTTTAATTACTCACTCCTCTGTTACGGACCTCACTGAGTCCAGGGTGAAGTTTGATGATGATGATGATGAAATGAAGGTTTGCTTCCTGTCTGTGATGCTTGGAGGTGTTTGGAATACCTGAGGCTCTGCAGGTGGCCGATGAAGCTCGATGGGATGCTGGAAAGGAAGCGACGTTCCGTCATGATGCCGGTCTCGATGTTGTGAAACTCCAGGCGGGTGTGGTCACCCACCATCTGGCCTGTAGACGGGGAGGGTGGAGGGGATGGGTTGAAAAGAAAGACAAAAAAGGAAAAGAAAACAGAACTCTGTCTGACACTAACACAGAAGGGCTGATTTAAGGAGAAGATTGCATCAACAGTATTAGTGATGATGTCACTAACTCTCTCATACCTGCCCCCACCCCCACATGGAGAAATGACACCACAAAGCAACCCTCAAACATTTCCAACTCAAGTACCTTCTGCTACATCATCGTCAACCGTTAGCTTGTAGGCTTTGCCCCGCCGCACCACGCGGACCGTATGCCACTCATTATCATTGAGCTTTTGCCCGGCATACAGGGTCTCCGGTCCCTTGCCTGAGGACAACGGTCAGTCACAAAGTTAAGGACAAACTGAGTCTCAAACCAAACCGTTGTTTCAGTCTGCAGCAGCCAACAGGCACCAGAATACCTCCAAACATCCAATTCATGCAGGAAACAAAGGTTTGGTTCAGCCAGTCAATTCAACAGAGAAAAATCACACAAGCAGATTTATGCTGCAGAGGAAAGGGAACTCTGAGTTTACTCGTAAGAGTCTCAAAGACTTCTGCTCCTCTTTGCTTCTTTGTAAAGAATGGATTTAGTGTGACAGTAAACCAGCTGCGGGAGGAGGAAGAGGGCTTTGAGTCTTCCAGGTTTGGCTTTTTCTGCTGAAACACAGGATTTTCTATGGGATGGCATCTATAGGATCTTGTTTGATGACATTTTTAAGAAAATAACATTTTTTTATCTTTTTATCTTGAATGAAACGAGAGGAGATAAAGATCTTCATGAGCTCATTCTGAGTAAAATCAGGTGTGGAAGAAAACCAACCAGGTGTTGTTAAATAAAACAAAGAATAAAAATGTCAGTTCCCTAAAACAAATGTAAAGTTTCTCCTTCCAGCGTTAATAAAACACGCACATTTACTTTATAATTAAGGAAGTGATTACAGAAACCTAAACCAGGTGTGGTTGAAACCTCAGATTCGTTCCTGTAGCCTTTCAGAAAAGAAACCTTCATCTGAGTCGGACGCAGATCTGGTTTCCAAAACGCTGCAGGGATGAATCCAGGAATAACGTCTAATTTCATCAGCTGTGTGGGAAGAGCCACGAGAAATAATAATCTGGGACTCGAGCTTCAGAGACATTTTAGAAAGGTTATGAAAGCACATTAGTTTGTGATTAAGGTTTGTTTGTATTAAGAAAAATATCATTTATTTAAATGAAAGCACTTGATATCGGACCTATTTTAAAGCTTATTTACTCTTAAAAACAGGAAACAGACTAACTGATTTATTCTTATGGAAGAACTTCGGAGCAATCATTTTATTTAGATTCATAAACACAAAATCCCAAATAAACAAAAATAAAAACATCCAGATTAATAAAAGTCTTCTGTTGATCCTCAACAGTTTGAAGCCAAAAATGTGAAGATTTGACTCATAAACTTAATTTTGTTTGCCAGGAAAAATCCAGATCCACAAAAAACAATCAAACACACAAACAACACAAATAAAAACAACAAAAACAATCAAACACTCAAACAAAACTAATAAAAACAACAAAAAACAATCAAAAACACAAACAAAACAAACAAAAACAACAAAAAACAATCAAACACACAAACAAAACAAACAAAAACAACAAAAAACAATCAAACACACAAACAAAACAAACAAAAACAACAAAAAACAATCAAACACACAAACAAAACAAACTTAAACTACAAAAAACAATCAAACACACAAACAAAACTAATAAAAACAACAAAAACAATCAAACACAAACAAAACAAACTAAAACAACAAAAACAATCAAACACACAAACAAAACAAACTAAGACAACAAAAACAATCAAACACACAAACAAAACAAACTAAAACAACAAAAAACAATCAAACACACAAACAAAACAAACAAAAACAACAAAAAACAATCAAACACACAAACAAAACAAACAAAAACAACAAAAACAAAATCAAACGAGGATCTGGTCTGTCCACGTTTCTCCTCCAGGGATATCAGGAAAAGCTCCAGGAATCTGGCGGAGCTTAAAGGACCCCGAAGCACGTCTAAGCTGGACCAGTGTGACCTCTGACCCCCAGAACCACCTGGACCCAGATCACTGTAGGAAACTTTATTCAGGTGCTACAGATTACTGTTGAAATGTTTTTATTTTAGTCTTTAGATGATTTCATCTGAACATGTTTTGATTACATTTTTATGCTACTGGTTAACCCTAACCCTACCAGTATTCCCAAATTCCCAGTCCGACTAGCCCCTCATAGTTAATGAAAACTTAGAGATGATATTTGATCCTAAATATTCCAATAAAAGGTAAATAGAACTTTTATGTGGGAACAATAAAACTTCATATTAGGGAGTTTTGGTTCTAATAATGATAACAGGTGGGTTACATGTGTCTGGGTGTGAAGGAGTGAGTCAGGTGGGAGCAGAAGGAGGTGAAGAAGGAAGAACATTTGAATCAAAACATCAAGAAGAAAAGCAAAATGAAACTTGAGTGTTAACTTACTGGAGTTACAGTTTATCCTGATACAGTCTAGATGGGGAAGAATAAATGACAGATGAAATTGCATCCTTCAAGGTTACAGCTGCAGACATCCAAAAACAAAAATTCCACCCTTCCGGGGACGTACACATGCAGGAGGGCGGCCATTTTTTCCTTCAGTGTCACATTTATCGTTAAAACTAATTAGAGAAAAGGACAACGGGAGGTCACTTTGACTAGAGTAGGAGTTTTCTGGTAAAATGGCCACTAGCGGTACCAGCCACGAGGCTTTTCCAACCCAACGCTTTGGTTTTGGAGCACCAATCTGCAGAAGGAGGAGCGAACAGCGGGCTGATGAGCTCTGAAGCCGAGCTGATTTTGTGAAGCCACCTGATTTGAGACCAGAACAGCAGCTGCGAGCAGCTGGAGGCAGCGTGGGTCGGTCGCCACGTGGCTGATGGGTTCATGTGTCGTCAACCGCAACAGAAAAGTGGGAGCAAACAGCCACGATCCAGTCAGCACCAGCACCGTGCAGAGGCACCGGACCCCACAGATTAGAGGACTTCTCTGCTGCGACCAGAACTCCGCCTACAAACGTTTTAACTTTTTAGGACACACCCCCAGTAAAGGTGTGAGGGCGCTGCTCTTTAACAGGTTTAAACTAAAGCAGGGCTATCCGTCCCTCTCTAATGTCCACGTGTTGCTCAGTAAACGGATGTTTGTGACCGGATTCACACCTTTTCCTGGTTCTGATTGGATCCTGATGGTGGGGGTGGGGTCACAGCCAGCTGCAGGTTTGACTGGGCTCTGTTCTCGGGCTGTTCGCCTGACGGGCCGCAGGCTTAAGGCCTTTGAAGGGGTGAATACCATCTTTTGATAAAGCATGATGGGAAAATGGAAACAAGACGCTGGGAAAGCACACAGCTCCAGTAAAGAGACTGTCACAGCAAATGAAGAGGAAGAGGTGGCTTTGATGCTCTGATGGACTAAAGGTTGGTTCAGTCAGAAACCTGAGGAGAAGCTGGTCTTCTGCGTTCCTGCTCAGACACATTTACCTCTAACATGAAACATTTAGGAGCAGAAACGGATTTTTCACTCATGCAGAGAGGAAATAATCTGTGTCTCAAAGCTGGTGGACACCTGTCTGATCACAAGGATGAGCAGGGATGGAGACAGGAGGAGGAGGAGCAGAGGAGATGTTACCGCTAGCTGGTAAAGCATCTCAGGGTGAGCATGGAGGTTACGTGGGGGAGGGGGGGCATACGATACCTAAGTTGACTGTGAGTTTGACCCGAGTCCCGTCCAACTCGAGCCGCAGCGTGTCGGCCGAGTCCTGGGAGGTGGTGGCCATGAGGAGGCCGTAGGCGCGCTGGGACCGGAACCGTAGCGAGACGTCCTCGGCCTCGGTGTGCATGACGGTCGGCATCACCACTTTCATGTACATGCTGCCATCGTAGGAGAGGATGGAGGCCTCTGTGGGAGGAGCCACATTGAACAGACCTTATTAAACAGGTTCTAGTTCTCTGGTCTCACATAAAACATTTTATAGTTTCAGATCCTTCCCAAAGGAGCCGTTATCTCCAGGACATTACTCACGACTATAACCACCCATCTCCATCGGCTGCTTTGTGGGGAGGACCATTAGGGTTGCAACAACCAGCAGCAGCAACAGGAACCAGCAGCAGCAACAGGAACCAGCAGCAGCAACAGGATCCAGCTGCAACAACAGGAACCAGCTGCGGCAACAGGAACAAGCAGCGGCAACAGGAACCAGCTGCAACAACAGGAACCAGCAGCAACAACAGGAACCAGCAGCAGCAACAGAAACCAGCTGCAACATTAGGAACCAGCAGCAGCAACAGGAACCAGCTGCAACATCAGAAACCAGCTGCAACAACAGGATCCAGCTGCAACATCAGGAACCAGCAGCATCAACAGGAACCAGCTGCAACAACGGGAACTAGCAGCGGCAACAGGAACCAGCAGCAACATCAGCAACCAGCAGCAGCAACAAGATCCAACTGCAACAACAGGAACAAGCAGCAACAACAGGAACCAGCAGCAGCAACAGAAACCAGCTGCAACAACAAGAACCAGCAGCAGCAACAGGAACCAGCTGCAACATCAGAAACCAGCTGCAACAACAGGATCCAGCTGCAACATCAGGAACCAGCAGCATCAACAGGAACCAGCTGCAACAACGGGAACTAGCAGCGGCAACAGGAACCAGCAGCAACATCAGGAACCAGCAGCAGCAACAAGATCCAACTGCAACAACAGGAACGAGCAGCAGCAACAGGAACCAGCAGCAGCAACAGGATCCAGCTGCAACATCAGGAACCAACAGCAGCAACAGGATTCAGCTGCAACATCAGGAGCCAGCAGCGGCAACAGCAACCAGCTGCAACAACAGGATCCAGCTGCAACAACAGGAACCAGCTGCAACAACATGAACCAGCAGCAGAAACAGGAACCAGCAGCAACAACAGGAACCACCAGCAGCAACAGGAACCAGCTGCAACAACAGGAACCAACAGCAGAAACAGGAACCAGCAGCAACAACAGGAACCAGCAGCAGCAACAGGAATTAGCTGCAACATCAGAAACCAGCTGCAGCAACAGGAACCAGCTGCAACAACAGGAACCAGCTGCAGCAACAGGACCCAGCAGCAGTAACAGGAACCAACAGCAACAACAGGAACCAACAGCAACAACAGGAACCAGAAGCAGCAACATGACCCAGCTTCAGCAACAGGACCCAGCTGCAACAACAGGACCGAGCTGTAGCAACAGGAATCAGCAGCAACAAAAGGAACCAGGAGCAGCAACAGGACCCAACAGCAACAACAGGATCTAACAGCAGTAACAAGAACCAACAGCAACAACAGGAACCAGAAGCAGCAACAGGACCCAGCTGCAACAACAGGACCCAGCTGCAACAACAGGACCGAGCTGCAGCAACAGGAACCAGCAGCAACAAAAGGAACCAGGAGCAGCAACAGGACCCAACAGCAACAACAGGATCTAACAGCAGTAACAGGTACCAACAGCAACAACAGGAACCAGAAGCAGCAACAGGACCCAGCTGCAACAACAGGACCCAGCTGCAGCAACAGGATCCAGCTGCAGCAACAGGACCCAGCTGCAGCAACAGGATCCAGCTGCAGCAACAGGAACCGGAAGCAACTGCAGGAAAATATGTTTGTTCTTGTGAAGCGCCTTGTGATTTTTATCTTGAGAGGCGCTATAGAAAATATAATTTTGTTTCTTTGACTCCAGCGCTCACCCACAGATGTTACAAACATCCGCCTGTTCCTTAGCGCTCCTCCACAGCTTTGGGATTCATCTCCAGAGAATAATGGTGATTTCATTTAGCATTCATAGGGAATGCCTCCAGCTTTTGTATCCTTTAACCCTCATGAGGTTTGTTCTAGTTTTACTTTAGACCCCCCCCCCCCCCCACACACACACACACACACACTCACACACACACACTCACACACACACACTCACACACGCTCACACACACACACACACTCACACACGCTCACACACACACACACACTCACACACGCTCACACACACACACACACTCACACACACACACACACACACACACACACACACACACACACACACACACACCTTCTGAAGGTTGTGTGAAACTGTCAGATGCTAAAAGAATCTCAGGCAGTACAGGATCCTGTGCGTTTCCCTGTTTCTTGACCATCTCAGTGTTGAATGAAAGCAGCTCTGGCTCCACAGCGACGGAGGAAGAGAAGCTTATATCCGGAGGTTATTTTAAGGTCTTCATTTCAGATTTATACAAATCTGCCCTCCACGCTGCAGCTTATTACGCTGCACCGTCTTTGTTCCACTTCATCAATCCTCTGCCTGGAGCCGGCCACGTTTTGTTTTCCTGCTTTCTGTTGGAATCATCAGATGTGATTATTTTTTCTGTCAGAATAATTTAATATGATAAACGATCTAATAATCTGCTGAGGCACTATGCGTCCTCTAAATGTCCTTTAGGAGTTTTTCTGCATGAGAGGGTGCAGTTACATCAGCAGGACAGAAGGGGGAGACAGAGTCCACCTGCCTGGATCGTAGGTGGTTCTGACACAGGAACATCTTTAATCTGTCCACCCAACAGCTGGTTTAAATACTCTTCTGTTGGTATTCTATTATTGCTGTCATGAATTATTATTATTTAAATGGTAAATGGCCTGTATTTGATATAGCGCCTTCTAGAGTCCTGGAACCCCCCAAGGCACTTTACAACACAATCAGTCATTCACCCATTCACACACACATTCACACACTGGTGGGGATGAGCTACAATGTAGCCACAGCTGCCCTGGGGCGCACTGACAGAGGCGAGGCTGCCGAGCACTGGCGCCACCGGTCCCTCCGACCACCACCAGCAGGCAAGGTGGGTTTTGTGTCTTGCCCAAGGACACAACAACAGCGACCGATTGAGCGGGGCTCGAACCTGCAACCTTCCGATTACGGGGCGACCACTTACCTCCTGTGCCACCGTCGCACAGGAGATCAGAACTGTTCTTTAAAATGCGTGTCGGACACGGACATGCGGCCCAGACCTTTTGCTGCAGCTGTAAACGCACTTTTCTGTAATAATTAAGATCACGACAGTAAACAAAACACAGTCCTTCACAACACAGCAACTAGCTTGTTGTACGTGTTGGAGCGACGTACGCAGAACACAGTTCTTCACTGTCTGGAGAGGATTTGGGTTTCTGTAATGATTTATGACAAAAGTCCTTAAATAAACCCAGGTCTTGTTTATAGAGGTGGTGAAGTCTAGTTATGCTGCTTTTCTACACGTTAATGCCGAGTCGCGCCAGTGCCTTTAAGCAACTTTATGGACTAAAACATCTCACTGAGTTGAGGGTTTAATGTAAAGATCAACCTATTAAACAGCCTTTGTTCAGCTCAGGAGCAGAGACTGAAGCAGCGACTCTAAAGCAGCGACTCGGAGCAGCAACGTTAAAGCAGCGACTCGGAGCAGCAACTCTAATGCAGCGACTCGGAGCAGCAACTCTAAAGCAGCGACTCGGAGCAGCAACTCTAAAGCAGCGACTCGGGAGCAGTGACTCTAAAGCAGCGACTCGGAGCAGTGACTCTAAAGCAGCGACCCGCAGCAGCAACTCTAATGCAGCGACTCGGAGCAGCAACTCTAAAGCAGCGACTCGGGAGCAGCGACTCTAAAGCAGCGACTCGGAGCAGCAACGCTAAAGCAGTGACTCGCAGCAGCAACTCTACAGCAGCGACTCGGAGCAGCGACTCTAAAGCAGCGACTCGGAGCAGCGACTCTAAAGCAGCGACTCGGAGCAGTGACTCTAAAGCAGCGACCCGCAGCAGCAACTCTAATGCAGCGACTCGGAGCAGCAACTCTAAAGCAGCGACTCGGAGCAGCGACTCTAAAGCAGCGACTCGGGAGCAGCGACTCTAAAGCAGCGACTCGGAGCAGCAACGCTAAAGCAGTGACTCGCAGCAGCAACTCTAAAGCAGCGACTCGGAGCAGCGACTCTAAAGCAGCGACTCGGAGCAGCGACGCTAAAGCAGTGACTCGCAGCAGCGACTCTAAAGCAGCGACTCGGAGCAGCGACTCTAAAGCAGCGACTCGGAGCAGTGACTCTAAAGCAGCGACTCGGAGCAGCGACTCTAAAACAGCGACTCGGAGCAGTGACTCTAAAGCAGCGACCCGCAGCAGCAACTCTAATGCAGCGACTCGGAGCAGCAACTCTAAAGCAGCGACTCGGAGCAGCGACTCTAAAGCAGTGACTCTAAAGCAGTGACTCACAGCAGCAACTCTAAAGCAGCGACTCGGAGCAGCGACTCTAAAGCAGCGACCCGCAGCAGCAACTCTAATGCAGCGACTCGGAGCAGCAACTCTAAAGCAGCGACTCGGAGCAGCGACTCTAAAGCAGCGACTCGGGAGCAGTGACTCTAAAGCAGTGACTCGGAGCAGCAACGCTAAAGCAGCGACTCGGAGCAGCAACTCTAAAGCAGCGACTCGGAGCAGCGACTCTAAAGCAGCGACTCGGGAGCAGTGACTCTAAAGCAGTGACTCGGAGCAGCAACGCTAAAGCAGCGACTCGGAGCAGCAACTCTAAAGCAGCGACTCGGAGCAGTGACTCTAAAGCAGCGACTCGGGAGCAGTGACTCTAAAGCAGCGACTCGGAGCAGCAACGCTAAAGTAGTGACTCGCAGCAGCAACTCTACAGCAGCGACTCGGAGCAGCGACTCTAAAGCAGCGACTCGGAGCAGCGACTCTAAAGCAGCGACTCGGAGCAGCGACGCTAAAGCAGTGACTCGCAGCAGCGACTCTAAAGCAGCGACTCGGAGCAGCGACTCTAAAGCAGCGACTCGGAGCAGCGACTCTAAAGCAGCGACTCGGAGCAGCGACTCTAAAGCAGCGACTCGGAGCAGTGACTCTAAAGCAGCGACCCGCAGCAGCAACTCTAATGCAGCGACTCGGAGCAGCAACTCTAAAGCAGCGACTCGGAGCTGCGACTCTAAAGCAGCGACTCGGGAGCAGTGACTCTAAAGCAGTGACTCACAGCAGCAACTCTAAAGCAGCGACTCGGAGCAGCGACTCTAAAGCAGCGACCCGCAGCAGCAACTCTAATGCAGCGACTCGGAGCAGCAACTCTAAAGCAGCGACTCGGAGCAGCGACTCTAAAGCAGCGACTCGGAGCAGTGACTCTAAAGCAGCGACCCGCAGCAGCAACTCTAATGCAGCGACTCGGAGCAGCAACTCTAAAGCAGCGACTCGGAGCAGCGACTCTAAAGCAGCGACTCGGGAGCAGTGACTCTAAAGCAGTGACTCACAGCAGCAACTCTAAAGCAGCGACTCGGAGCAGCGACTCTAAAGCAGCGACTTGGAGCAGTGACTCTAGCCCCGGCTTTCCACTGGAGCCGTCAGCAGCGCGAGTCGGCCGCGTCTCAGGAGCAGCATGTCGCGGCCTTTACGCGCCGGTTCTATTTTCTACGCGCGACGCCTCTGAAACGGGTCAAGTTGGACATTTTTGGGGAAGGAAAGACAGGAAATCGGACGCGGAAATGGAGCGCAGCTCCCGAGATTTTCAGAATAAAGAACGTATTGCCTTCCGGTTGCTTTACTTTAAAAAAGGTTACTAACTGTGCGTCCCCGTGAGAAGTTATCACCTAGCTAGCGGTCTCCTTTGTTTTTCAGGTCCGTATTGGCGATTATAAAACGGACAGAACATAAAACACGAATCATGTTGTAGTTTTCTCCTGCTTGTTGTTGTGTTTACTGATGAAGTAACTCGTGTGACTTCGTGCTCTGTCGGTGACAGCTGCTCCCCTGCTGCTTCGCGTCTCGTGGGAAGGGCCAAGCAGCAGCTTACGCGAGCAAGACGTGCTGCTGCAGTAACGTGCTGCTGACGGCTCCCGTGGAAACCCGGGGTAAAGCAGCATCTCAGGAGCAGTGACTCTAAAGCAGTGACTCGGAGCAGCGACTTGGAGCAGCGACTCTAAAGCAGCGACTCTAAAGCAGCGACTCGGGAGCAGCGACTCTAAAGCAGCGACTCTAAAGCAGTGACTCGGGAGCAGCGACTCTAAAGCTGCGACTCGGAGCAGCGACTCGGGAGCAGCGACTCTAAAGCAGCGACTCGGAGCAGCGACTCTAAAGCGGTGACTCGAAGCAGCGACTCTAAAGCAGTGACTCGGAGCAGCGACTCTAAAGCAGTGACTCAGAGCAGCGACTCGGGAGCAGCGACTCTAAAGCAGCGACTCGGAGCAGCGACTCTAAAGCAGCGACTCAGAGCAGCGACTCTAAAGCAGCGACTCAGAGCAGCGACTCTAAAGCAGTGACTCAGAGCAGCAACTCGGGAGCAGCGACTCTAAAGCGGTGACTCGAAGCAGCAACTCTAAAGCAGTGACTCGGAGCAGCGACTCTAAAGCAGTGACTCGGAGCAGCGACTCTAAAGCAGTGACTCAGAGCAGCGACTCGGGAGCAGCGACTCTAAAGCAGCGACTCGGAGCAGCGACTCTAAAGCAGCGACTCGGGAGCAGTGACTCGGAGCAGCACCTGAGGATTCAGGCTTCGTGCTCCTGGCTGTTGGAGTATAGCTTCTTCCAGCTGTGATGTGATGGTTAAACTGTGAATTATGAAAGATGCAGGATGTAAACCACGGGAGCGATATCTGCTTCAGGTGCTCGTGCACGGTGATCTCCTCGTTTCCTGTCAGCATGTGCCGTTGGATGCTGCTCTGGCTTTAGCAGAGGATCCTCTAAGATGAGCAGGAAGCCAGTGCCGCTGCCTCGGCGATACAAGAGAGACTAAAACATGTCTGTCAGCTGTAAACGGATTAGAAATTAATTTCCATCTCTCTCAAGACTCTGTTTGCAGTCAGCTCAGCAGTAAAGTCAGACGGTGGTGAGACGAAGAGGCAGAAGGTTGTTTCACTCGGTGAAACTTGCTGTTATCCACTGGGAGCTTGTTTACAGCATCGGTACGAGGGTTTTAGGAAGAGCGGAGGGAGACAAACTCCTCAGGTCGTCATGCCTCTCATCTTGTTTTAACCACAGAGGCAGCTTCAGTTGCAGCGCTCTTCCTGAGCTTGTCCAATAATTATCAGTCACCAATCAGAACATCCAACCACCCGCAGAGGAAAGCTCTCCAGGCTGGATCAGCTGGAGCGTTCTGATGGTGCTGCGTAAGAACAGTTCAAATGTTTGTGTTCAGAATTATGAAAAGACCATTTGTTTGATGTTCAGAGGAACAATCTGGTGGAAAACTGGTGAAAGTCAGGAATGAGGTTTTGCAGCCACAGATGGTGGTGAGTCTGTCCTTCTCACTGCTGCTTCGACACGGTGGATCACAATGTGGTAGCTGGCCGCCTCAGACAACACGTGGGTGTCTCAGGATCGGCTCTGGAGGGGTTGATTGTATCTTTCAAACAGAGCAGTCTGCGTCAAAATGGGTGGTTTCTCGTCTACCTCCTCGCAACTTCCCTGGGGTGTTCCCCAGGGTTCTGTGCTGGAACCACTTCTGTTTTTGATCTATATTCTCCCATTGGGGGTTATTTTTTGTTGTTTTCACATTAGTTTTCACTTTTTTGCAGATGACTGCCAACTTTATATCCCCCTCGGTGGTGACCATGGCAAATAAGTGGACAACCTAATAGACTGCCCGTCTGAGGGAAGAGGTGGTTGTTGGCTAATTATTTGTGCCTCAACAAGGACAAGACAGGGGCAGTCCTACTGGGACCTAATGGCCACATTGACACCACCTCGCTTGACTGTGGGCCATTTAATTCAAAGGCAAAGACAGCTGTCACAAACCTTGGCGTTAAATTTGACCATGCCTTGGGTTTTGATGCCATGCAAATGGAATCACGTCCACCTCTTTTTATCATCTGCGCTGTTTAGCTAAAATAAAAACCATTCCTGACAAGACACACCTGGAAATAGTAGTCCATGCTTTTAGAACAAGACCGATTGACTTCTGTAATTCCCTCCTAATTGGAATGACCAGAGCACCTCGGGCAAAGCTGCAAAATGCAGCCACAAATTTTTGGTGGGAAAAAAGAAATGTGTCCGTGTCTCCCCGGTCTTGGAGTCCCTCCACATGCTGCCTGTGGATTTCCGGATTCCTTTGAAAGTCCTTTTATTGGTTTTCAAACCGTTAAATGGACTGGCGCCTGCATATCTGCAGACACTGATACATCCATGTACACCTGCACGGGCACGCCGCTCAGACAACAGTCTCCTACTCACAGTTCCAAAGACTCGTTTAAAGACAAGGAGACACGGCTTTTTCCGTGGCAGGCCGGAAACTCTGGAATGAGTTACCCTTTAACGTGCGTCGGACTAAAGACTTTTTTATTTGGTTTTTATTCTTGTTTTAATCCTTGCCTAATATTACCAACAGGTCTGTCTGTGCAGCGCTTCGGTGTCACCCCCTGTGCCTGTAGGGCGCTTTAGAAATAAAGCTCGAGTTGGGCTGAAAACAAATAAATCCGGATTATTCTGAGGTTTTACACATCATACACCCTTACCTCTCTCACAGGTACGTGACCAGTACCCAGTGCCGGTGCAGTCGCAGATGAACCGGTTCCAGCCCTCTTTGCAGACACCTCGGTTCTTGCACGGGTAACTCTCGCACTGCTTCCCCTGCTGCTTGTTGCACGAGGGTTTGATGCCAGCGCCGTTCTGGGCCTCGGCGATCTGCCGGATGTCCTTACTCCGACCGTCGATGAACAGGTCCCGGATGCAGCCGACGTAGCCGTAGTTCAGCATTGCTGTCCAGAGTTCGGTGGGCAGGATGAGGTTGGAGCGGTCCACTGGAAGACCTCCCAGATACATGTCTCCCTCCAGGTCCAGGATTTCGCTCTCTCCGCTGGCCGTGAACGGGGTCCTCCTGCTGTTTACAGAGATGGTACCTGGAACAGTGGATAACGGGACAAACGGTGACGGTCCTTCCTGATCTCTGCTTTCAGGTGTTCCTCCTACCCAGGGACCAGGAGCTGAAGTCTCAGAGCGGGTTAGTCCCTACGACGACCCTTGACCTCAAACACTTAAATCTAAGAGTCTTCCAGGTACAGTGGGAGGTGATTTTCTGGGAATTTTTTTTGCCATTTAGCTTTAGTTTCTCTTCACATCCTAAATGTTTAATCAAAACTAATAAAAAAATAATAATAATAATCACTTGTGGAAAAATCTCATCCAGCCATTGTGAACATTTCATTCTTGATGACTGGGTCCTGGTCCATTCTCTGGGTTACGACTTTGGATCATTCGCTCTACCGTTCAGCAGGTCGACTGCAGCTGACATATGAAGGTGACTCGGTACATCAATAATAAATGATTACATGTGTCATTAATTAAAATCTAAAACAAGATGATCAATATTTGATAAATGATGTATTAAACATGTCATAAATAACAATAATCCTACAGAAGTCACTGTTCTGTGTTTTTGTCAACCTGCCCGTCAGACTTGGTGGGCGAGTCTTAGGATGACTAACTCGATTGCTCTGGTCTGAGTCTTTTCAAACATGGCGGCTCCCTTTGTGGAGAATTCCTGACCAGCTGAGAGGCATTTTGAATCTGGCAGAGAAAACAGAACCAGGGGTTTCTGACCCAGAATCTGTGGCTGACAGGAATTGAACTAGGAAATCTGGTTTGATGAAGATATCGACCATGGAAGATGAACTCCAGAACCTCTCCTGGGCGTTTATGGAGACGCATTGTTCCTATAAGATGTCTCTTTTCACCTATTTAACTTCACTGACCTGAACGACCATCTCTCTGGATGTCCACGTGGTACCACGCTCCATCGTTCACTTTGGTCTGGGTGGATTTCACCTTTATGGTCCCAGAGCCCATGTCCAGCAGCAGGTACAGACTCCCATCCAGAAGTTCAACAGCAAAGAAGTCCACCTGGAAAACACACAGAGATCAGATTCACAAAGAAATGACCTGTTTGCTGACATCATTAGGAGTAGTTTCACCTGAGGCAGGTCTGTGACTGACCTTCGTGTTTTTCTGGCTGCGAGCAGCATCTTTACGCTCCTGAGGTTTTCCATGAGTGAACAGGATGAGTCCGTTGGGCTCGGTTGTACGGAAATCAAAAGATATGGACCCCATCCGCTTGGTGTTCCACTTGGGGAGACTGATGTAGGCCTCCGGAGTCTCAAAGGAAATCGGGTCCAGTGTTGCCACGTTCTCACACCTGTAGGCCACCTCACCCTGTATCTTCATCTTTGGGTCCAGGAGCCGAGCCATCCGAGACAATTCCAGACGGATGTCATTGTTCTTGTACACCACCTGTGTTGGAGGGGGGAGGTGTCTGGTTATTCTTTTATGTGGTTAAAGATGTCAAACCCAAATTAAAAAGTGTGACCATTTTAAATATGTCACTTTCATTTACATTTTCACAATAAGACAAGGAAATAAAAAGAGAATTATCTGTGTTTTCCAGATGAATGCTGAACCCGTCTGTGGAAATGAGTTTCTATTCAAGCTCTTATTAATTAACAGCTGCTCCATTCAGACTGGTGGTGATGGACACACTCTCAATTAAAATGACAATATGTGGTTTAAACCAAAAAGCCCACAGCTTCATTACATCATTCACTAACATCCCATAATCTGATGTTTTTAACCAAGAGAGACTCTGAAAACACGCTGAAAGATTTACAAAAATAAACATAGTAATTGGTTTAGTTTGTGAAAAAATAAGAATCAGAATCAGCAACAAGCAAAAATACATCATCACCATCATCATCATCACCATCATCACTATCATCACTATCATCATCATCACCATCATCACTATCATCACTATCATCATCATCACCATCATCGCTATCATCATCACCACCATCACTATCATCATCACCATCATCACTATCATCACTATCATCATCACTATCACCACAATCACCATCACCACCATCACCATCATCACCATCATCACTATCATCATCACTATCACCACCATCACCATCACCACCATCACCATCATCACCATCACCATCATCACTATCATCATCACTATCACCACCATCACCATCACCACCATCACCATCACCACCATCACCATCATCACTATCATCATCATCACTGTCACCATCATCACTATCATCATCATCACCATCACCACCATCACCATCACTGTCATCATCATCACCATCATCACTATCATCATCACTATCACCACCATCACCATCACCACCATCACCATCATCACTATCATCATCATCACTATCACCACCATCACCATCACCACCATCGCCATCACCACCATCACCATCATCACTATCATCATCATCACTGTCACCATCATCACTATCATCATCATCACCATCACCACCATCACCATCACTGTCATCATCATCACCATCATCACTATCATCATCACTATCACCACCATCACCATCACCACCATCACCATCATCACTATCATCATCATTACTATCACCACCATCACCATCACCACCATCACCACCATTACCATCATCACTATCATCATCACTGTCACCATCATCACTATCATCATCATCACCATCACCACCATCACCACCATCACCATCACTGCCATCATCATCACCATCATCACTATCATCATCATCACCATCACCACCATCACCATCACTGTCATCAACATCACCATCATCACTATCATCATCATCACCATCACCACCATCACCATCACCACCATCACCATCATCACTATCATCATCACCATCACCACCATCACCACCATCACCATCATCACTATCATCATCACCATCACCACCATCACCATCATCACTATCATCATCACCATCACCACCATCATCATCACCACCATCACCACCATCACCATCATCACTATCATCATCACCATCACCACCATCACCATCACCATCATCACTATCATCATCATCACTATCACCACCATCACTATCACCACCATCACCATCACCACCATCACCACCATCACCATCATCATCATCACCATCATCACTATCATCATCATCATCACTGTCACCATCCTCACTATCATCACCATCATCACTATCATCATCACCATCACCACCATAACCATCACCATCATCACTATCATCATCATCACTATCACCACCATCACTATCACCACCATCACCATCACCATCACCACCATCACCATCATCACTATCATCATCATCACTGTCACCATCATCACTATCATCATCATCACCATCACCACCATCACCACCATCACCATCACCACAATCACCATCATCACTATCATCATCATCACTGTCACCATCATCATTATCATCATCATCACCATCACCACCCTCACCACCATCACCATCACCACCATCACCATCATCACTATCATCATCACCATCACCATCATCACCATAACCATCATCACTATCATCATCATCACTATCACCACCATCACTATCACCACCATCACCACCATCACCATCACCACCATCACTATCATCATCATCACTGTCACCATCATCACTATCATCATCATCACCACCATCACCACCATCACCACCATCACCACCATCACCATCATCACTATCATCACCACCATCACTATCACCATCATCACTATCATCATCATCACTATCACCACCATCACTATCACCACCATCACCATCACCACCATCACCACCATCACCATCATCATCATCATCACCATCATCACTATCATCATCATCATCACTGTCACCATCATCACTATCATCACCATCATCACTATCATCATCACCATCACCACCATCACCATCACCATCATCACTATCATCATCATCACTATCACCACCATCACTATCACCACCATCACCATCACCATCACCACCATCACCATCATCAATATCATCATCATCACTGTCACCATCATCACTATCATCATCATCACCATCACCACCATCACCACCATCACCACCATCACCATCACCACAATCACCATCATCACTATCATCATCATCACTGTCACCATCATCACTATCATCATCATCACCATCACCACCCTCACCACCATCACCATCACCACCATCACCATCATCACTATCATCATCACCATCACCATCATCACCATAACCATCATCACTATCATCATCATCACTATCACCACCATCACTATCACCACCATCACCACCATCACCATCACCACCATCACTATCATCATCATCACTGTCACCATCATCACTATCATCATCATCACCACCATCACCACCATCACCACCATCACCATCATCACTATCATCACCACCATCACTATCACCATCATCACTATCATCATCATCACCATCACCACCATCACCATCACCACCATCACCACCATCACTATCACCATCATCACTATCATCATCATCACTATCATCACTATCACCAACATCACCATCACCACCATCACCACCATCACCACCATCACTATCACCATCATCACTATCATCATCATCACCATCACCACCATCACCACCATCACCACCATCACTATCACCACTATCACCATCACCACCATCACCATCACCACCATCACCACCATCACCACCATCACTATCACCATCATCACTATCATCACCATCACTATCACCACCATCACCATCACCACCATCACCACCATCACTATCATCACCATCACTATCACCATCATCACTATCATCATCATCACCATCACCACCATCACCATCACCACCATCACTAGCACCATCACCACCATCACCATCACCACCATCACCACCATCACTATCACCATCATCACTATCATCATCATCACTATCACCACCATCACCATCACCACCATCACTAGCACCATCACCACCATCACCATCACCACCATCACCACCATCACTATCACCATCATCACTATCATCATCATCACTATCATCACTATCACCAACATCACCATCACCACCATCACCACCATCACCACCATCACTATCATCATCATCACCATCACCACCATCACCATCACCACCATCACCACCATCACTATCACCATCATCACTATCATCATCATCACTATCATCACTATCACCAACATCACCATCACCACCATCACCACCATCACCACCATCACTATCACCATCATCACTATCATCATCATCACTATCACCACCATCACCATCACCACCATCACCACCATCACCATCATCATCATCATCATCATCATCATCATCACCATGAACTTCATTGTGGCCACTGGTATCCCACAGGGGTCAGTGTTAGTTCCTTTGTTATTGGCATTTGTTTAGTTTTAAAACCACTAAAGTATTTGCAGATGATAAAAATTGTCCTTAGTTTTGGAAAATATTTATTAATGTTAGTGGACACAGTTGAGAAAGAATTAAATGCATTACAGGTGTTGGTTTGCTTTAAATTAACTCCATCCATCCATCCATCCATCCATCCATCCTTCCATCCATCCATCCATCCATCCATCCATCCATTTTCATCCGCTTATCCAGAGTTGGGTCGCGGAGGCAGTAGCCTAAGTCGAGAGGCTCAGACTTCCCTCTCCCCAGCCTCTTGGGCCAGCTCCTCCGGGGGAATCCCAAGGCGTTCCCTGGCCAGGTGAGAGACATAGTCCCTCCAGCGTGTCCTGGGTCTACCTTTGGGTCTCCTCCCGGTTGGACGTGCCCGGAAAATATCACCAGGGAGGCGTCCAGGAGGCATCCTGACCAGATGCCCGAGCCACCTCAACTGGCTCCTCTCGATGTGGAGGAGCAGCGGGTCTACTCCGAGCCCCTCCAGGATGACCGAGCTTCTCACCCTATCTCTAAGGGAGAGCCCAGCCACCCTACGGAGGAAACTCATTTCGTCCGCTTGTATCTGTGATCTCGTTCTTTCGGTCACTACCCAAAGCTCGTGACCATAGGTGAGGGTAGGAACGTAGATCCACCGGTAAATCGAGAGCTTCACCTTCTGACTCAGCTCTCTCTTCACCACGATAGACCAGTACAACGCCCGCATCACTGCAGATGCAGCACCAATCCGTGTATCGATCTCACGCTCCCGGAGACCCGGAGATACATAAACTCCTCCGCTTGAGGCAGGACCACATCCCTGACCCGGAGAAGGCATTCTACCCTTTTCCGAATCCAGACCATGGTCTCAGATTTAGAGGAGCTGATTCTCATCCCAGCTGCTTCACACTCGGCTGTGAACTGCTCCAGCGAAAGCTGAAGATCACGTTCTGATGAAGCCAACTGGGCCACATCATCTAAAAAAAGCAGAGACCTGATCCTCAGGCCACCAAAACGGATGTCCTCCACACCTTGGCTGCGCCTAGAAATCCTGTCCATAAAGGTTATGAACAGAATCGGTGACAAAGG